ATCTTTCCCTCTCTATCTGTGCAGTCAGTGGATGCATCACAATCTCCAATAGTGTTGTTTACAGTCTAAGGGGATTTGCAAGAAGCCAAAGGTCTTACAATGTGTGTACTTGCCTGCAAGATGCAAAAATGTCAAGAGCGTTTGCTGCCTGAAGTTAACATAAAGGATTAGTCCACACCCAGAAGGTTTGGTGGAGACAGACAACTCAGTCACCCAGTATGAAATAAAGCCCATGCACTCCCCAGTCCACTCCTTGCTATTGTAAAGTAGCTCTCCCTAACTTGGGTTTAAAGAGAAGACAATGTCTTCTGACGCTGGAGTCATAGCGCAGATGCCATTAAGAGATATGCACAAGGCAGGGCAAATAAAACACAGTGCTACATTGATTTTTAAACCTCCATGGAAACGTAACTCAATGGCAACACATAATACTTCTGTAGATGGTTTCAGACTAGACGCCTGCAATTTGCCACTCTTCTGGAAGAAAAGGTAGCCTATGGTTACATAGTTGAGAACATTTTTTCCCTGTTTCCTTGTTTACGTTCTTTTGGAGATCACAGTTAAGCAAAATTAACAGTGATAAAGATAAAGTCAGAATGCTAGAAATTGCCTCCTATAAGTGTCGACGATGAAAGTATATGCAATTGTGAGAACACTTAAGCGGGCAGCCACAATAAAGCTTCAGCAACTGGCAGCTGCATAACTTGCCAGAGATCACACATTAGGCTAAATCAGAAGATGTCCACAGAGTATACAGAAAGGCAGCGTGCAGTCAAGTACTGTCTAGTGTGGTACTGTCAGCACTGGAGGAAGGAGGAACAGAATTTTACTAGTGTGAAAAGTTAGAGCATGGGCTTCGTTTTCTGTTTGTTTGTTTTTGTTTTTGAGTTGGAGTTCTCATCCTGTCACCCAGGCTGGAGTGCAGTGGCACGCTCATGGCTACCATATCCTCGACCTGCTGGGCTTAGGTGATCCTTCAGCCTCAGCCTTCCAAGTAGCTGGAACAACAGACAAGCGCTATATTGCCTGGCTAATTTTTTGATTTATTGTAGAGATGAGGTCTCACCAAGTTGCCCAGTCTGGTCTTGAACCCATGGGCTCAGGCAATCCTCTCACCTCAACCTCCCAAAGTGCTGGGATTATAGGCATGAGTCGCTGCGCCTGGCATAGAGCATGGACTTTGAAGAGAGGCAGAGCTCAATAAGGAAAGCAGACAGATTTAGAGATGTCAGTCTGGGGGGATTTAATCTAGGAATTTGGTTGTAGAGGCAATAGGAGAGCCGACAAGCCAAAAAAGGTTAGGTGAGTAACCTCAGAATGGCAGCAGTACAAAGACACAACCAATCCAATGGCTGGAGGGACAAGGCAGGAAGGAGGTGACATTCTCATAGCTTGTACGTGGATCCCCCAGGGATCTGCTGGAGTCTTGCAGACCTACCAGTGGAAGTTGGGATTGTGAGTGAAGCAACTTTCTAATAGGAATCTGAGCCACAGAGGAGATGCCTCCTGAAGCACAGAAAGAAAAGTACCCTTGCTTCTTACCAGCGGCTGCCCTCCCACTTTCTGCCAATGCCTCCATTTGGCCAATCCACACCGTACCCAGAGGGCAGGGTGCTTGGAAGTGTATGTTGCTCCCTAGAGCTTAGAGGATGGTGGAAGTGGCAAGGGATAGATCTGAGAGCAGAGGACCGGCATGTTGGCTTTAGGTCATAATGCTGCCATTTACTAAGGCATGCCACTCAACCTCTCTGAGACTCCAGTGTCCTCATCTGCAGCACTGGAACCATGCCTGCCTTTACCTATAACTTCTATAACGGAGGTCATGACAAGACTAAAGTGGCTGCAAAGGAGAATGACTGAGCCATCCCCAGACCACGTCAAGACAAAGGAGAGTTGGCAGCCTAGATCCTTTGCTGGGGACACATGCCACAGTTGTCAAGCCACCTTGATATTGTTAACCACGCCCCCTCAGGGTCACATGGGTGATACGTAGGGTGATTCACAAGTCACATGGTAATTTGCAGCTTACGGGTTAATTGCACATCATTAACTCATAGGGCTTTCACTGGGCTAAACAGGAAATATACTGTTCTTTGTGCCTTTACTGCTAAGGCACAGATGCTCAAAGAGCTTAGGTAATTTATTCAAGCAAACCCCTGTAATACATGATAGGGCTGGGCGTTAAGCACATGATGTCTCACTCCGAACCTAGTGTTTGGACCAAGCGTGATGACGTGTGCCTGTAATCTCAGCTCCTTGGGAGGCTGAGGTGAGAGGATGGCTTGAGCCCAGGAGTTTGAGGCTATAATGAGCCATGATTGCACTGCTGCACTCCAGGGAGGGTGACCCTGTCTCTAAAGCAAAACAAAATAAAAATTTAGTGCTTGTCTTCCACGTAGCTCTACCCTTGAGTCAAAACTTGCATCAATCACTTTTCTGTTTCACATTTTAAAGCAGAATATTTCAACATGATGAGAGGAAAGTGTGACATAAATAAAAAAGGTAAATTACTAAAGTCTCTCCTCCCTACTCAACCTAACCAGCATTGCAGAAACGCTGGCTGTGAGGCCTGTGAGAAAACCAGTCGCACCGAGACGATAGTTTGTAGGGCCTGCGTTTTTTGGCCCTGTGACTCAGAGTCCCTGGGGACGGGGCGGGGCGAGACCCGGCTCTTGTTCGCGATGTATGACTCCATCGTGTGTTTATTCACTCAATTATTAGACAGCACACGTGTAACTGTTACCACTTGAGCGTCTAAACATATTTTTGACATAAGAAAAAGGTTATAATAAGCCAAAACGAGGGTGATCCACAGTCGCCAGTGGTTCCCTGGGATAGAAGAAAAGTGAATTGCGTGATCCCCCTCTTCTATAGTTTTGAAATTTTACCATAAAGATGTATTAATTTGTAATTTGCTTCAAAACACAGAAATATCCCTCAAAATTGGTTTCAGGAGTGAGGAAGGGGCCCAGATTTGGTAAGACTGGCCGCTGTACAGCTCCATCCCCAATTCTCAGCTTCCAAGCAAGCTGACAAAGGGAAGTGGCTTTTTGTTCCCAAGGAATCTCTTATGACATAGTGGTGCCTCCCAGTCTTTGAAGGAGCAGGTTAGACCAAGGTTGACCCGTGGATGGCTTTTCGAGTGGAGGGTAAAACATCTACAGGGATCTGACGGTCGGATGACGCGAGCCCTGCACCTGGGCCGAAAGCTGGTCATGATCCTCTGTAACACCCAACCCCACCCTTGCCTCTTACACTATGCAAGAGTCAGCACCCATGCCACCCCACACTCATCTCCTTCCCCCATTTACCAATAGTTTTCAGTCTTTTTTTTTTCTCAGATCCTGAACTTAAGAGGAAAGTTAGATTTAAAAAGAAGCATCTACCACTCCAAAGTCTTCTTAAATCCACGGATTGAAACTCACCCTTAACATGGATACCTTTTTTTTCTAGGGTTTGAATTCTTACCTACCATGACACTTATCGGAACCCACCCTCTATTTGTCATTTGACCATTTGCCCATCTGCCCGAACCTATGTGGAGTTTCTTGAGAAAAAGAACCAAGACTGGTCGTTCTTTGTATCTCACCAGTACCACCCCGGCCTACACTGAGCACATGCTACTTGTCTCTACCTGTAGTAGGTGTTCAGAGTTGGCTTCTTGAGTTCGGTAGGAGCATCCAAATCCTGAACACACACCCCAAGAGCTATCTCATCCTTGGTGCATCCGTTATCATTGTGCTTCCCACAATGCCACAGTCAGGCAACCTTGTGGTGACTTCGGTCCCCAATTAAATAGTCTGTCAACATATAACTCATTGATTGGATCCCTTAACATTTAAGTCTAGCCGTTTTTTGTTTTTGTTTTTTAAGGCAGTTTTCCCTCTAAACCTTGACTCTGTTCTAGGAGAAATTACCAGATCCCTGGACTGCCTCCAGTGCTCGTGAGCCAAGGGTGACCTGAGGTCTTGAATGTCTGTTCAGCAGCCTCTCTGTTGTATAGGGAGTGTCATGGACTAGAAAGAGACGCCGTCATTATGTCTGTCATTCCAGCATTCTCTTTCTCCGAGGAAGTCAAATTAAACACCTTCTTGACTCATAAATTTAGTGGTGTTCAGGCAATGATGAAGAATGAGGTATGTTTCACTCCAATTCTAGCACCCCACCATAGGCCATGGGATCACAGGCCTTTGAACAGGCCATTTTTCCTCCTTTACTTTATTATCTAAAAACCACTTTTATTCCCAGATATTAAGTATGCCCAGGGCTGCATTGATTTTGTCCCTGGGAAGATCTCAGACTCTCCCAGCATCTTTTTTTTTTTTTTTTTTGAGTTGGAGTCTCACTCCGTCACCCAGACTGGAGTGCAGTGGCACGCTCCCGGCCACCACAGCCTCGACCTGCTGGGCTCCGGCGATCCTTCCGCCTCAGCCTTCCAAGTAGCTGGAAATACAGGCACGCACTACCATGCCCAGCTAATTTTTGATTTATTGGATAGACGAGGTCTCGCCCAGTTGCCCGG